TTTTTTTTTTTTTTTTTTTTACAGAGAGAGAATTTGCCTCGAAACGTTTTTACTCCTATGTACGTTTACGGCTTTATGAAACGCGGAGATTTCAAGTTGTGTATATACGTGTTAAAAAACTCGAACGTGTTTCCTTGACCGAGCTCCTCTCTCGTTCTATTGATAATTACTCTTTTGAAGGGGGGAAGGAGGGGGAGTTTTCTTGAAAAATATTCGAGATATTCGAGTGATTATTCGGATCGATGCGAAATTGGGAAAAAGGGATTAAGGAGGGGAGGAAAGGGGAGGGAGCGAGGTGAACGACACTGCCTGTTCGATTCTGAATTTATTTCGTTCTTCTCCAGGCGAGACTTGGCGAGGCGATGCTTAAACAGAGCGCGAACAATACGGTTTCCAGGTGTAAATAAAATCGTTCCGCTTCCCCACTTCCGCGAGATTGTATATACCCCTATACAAATGAAACTGAAATTACTGTACCGGATATTAAAATTTACACATTACTCCTCCGGTTGGAAATTACCGGCTCGCCTTGTTTATTCCCCCTCCTTTCCTTCCCCCCGGCCTGTAAGTTGTTACGCGTCGTAATTTGAGCAAATATTTTCACACGGGAACGTGGAAATCGGGTCAAAGAAGGTGTACGTTTTGTATACGTCTATCAATTTCGAAACGCCATTTTCTTTTCTTCGATCGTTTTTAGATCTATTGTTCTTTAATCTTAATTCTTCGAATACGAAATCGAGTTATTATTATTCGATGGTATAAATAATTTTTCTATCTTATCCTCGTCTCAATTATTGCGCGAAATATTAATACGTTTTTACGTGGAATTCCATGGGAAAAAATTTTTTATATTATATTATCAACGTTTGTCAGGGTTGGGTCTTAGCGAGTCTTCAAAAATTCCATTATACCACACACAATATTTCTCGCAATCAAAGTACACACGTTTTCGATTATCGTTTTTTTTTCAAACTCTCGTTCTAACGCGGTGACAAAAGGGTCGTGTCGGACCGATTTTATCAAGTTCGAACTGCACAGTTCCCGACTTCTATCGCAATTTGTTCCCTTGATAAAAAAGTGATAAAAGGCAAATAACAATTACTAGAGAAATTAGCAATAATAAAACCTCGCCATATTTTAAGAATTAGAGAAAATCATTCCACTGAATTTCCTTTTTTATCCATACAATTATACAAATTTTTTCTAAATTTTATATAGTTTAATCAGGTCAAACGATTTCCCCATACAACGATATTTCGAAGATAGATGTATCGAGATAAAAATTCTCGAATTTAGAAAAATGAAACAGACAACATAAGTTTATTCTTCGTTTCGATTCAAAGAAACTCAATAACCCCCATCGTTCAAAAAGCATCTCTGGCGAGATTTACGCCCAAGACTATCAAATCATCCTTCCATTAGAATGCAAAATAATAATTACCAAATTACTCTTCTTTCTCAACTTCTTATACGTGCATCGTGAATGATTAAAAAATTAAAATAAAAGAAAAGATAAAGAAAAAATGTCGTTAAACTTTTTTATAAATCTCATAAATTAATAATTAAAAAAAAAATTAAACTATTCGAAAAATATTAAATTAAAAAAACTGTAAAAAAATAAACGTAAGATAAAAACAAAAAAAAAACATTATAATAATGATTAATAAATTATTATATTAGTATAATAAATATATATTAATAAATATTAATAATATTAATAAATANATATAATAATATATATAATAATATATATAATAATATAATAATATATATAATATATATAATAAAATATTAAAACGTAATAAGTGATTGTTAAATAAATAATCGCGGATCGGTCGCGCACGTGTCCCGAATATACGCGTGACGATGAATACGGAGGGATCAAGATTGATAGGGTACAAATCGCAACACGTACCGAGCATCCACTTAGCGGTGCATTATCCCGATGAGAATGTGTACACACTGGATATCTTACCTGATGCAACGGTTGCGATCCTGATAATGGCAGTCACTTGTCGAGGGGAAGATGAAGCCTCGAACACGGCCTGGCTAATCGATTGTTCGGGGTGAGTTCCATTTTTTGCAAAATTTTTATAAGAATTTGAAATCGGGGAAATGTAAAATTTGATGTTTTGAATGGGCGGACAACGTGATTCTTATTATTGTATTGAATCGAAGTAATTTGAAGTAATTTATAAAGAGCAAGATTCGTTCAATTAATTAGGGAATGTAAATTTTATTAATATTAATAAAAGAAATATAAGAAAGATTGGAAGAATTGGAAGTTTTTGAATTTTTTCAAAATTCTTTTGTTTTGTTCTTCTTTATTATTTTTCTTTCTTCTACTTCCTTTGCATCTGAAAATACTGCATAACAGTATTTTCATGTATGTTACCAAGCATCGAACAATTCTTCTAATTCCTTAGCAACGAAAAATTAGATTCTCTATAATTTTATCTTTATAATTTTATTTTTTATTTTTTCTTTATATTCTTTAGTTTAATTTTATTTATTTAATATATTAATATATTATTTATTTTATTTATTTTATTTATTAATATAATTTTATTTTATT